TTCCACTTTATTATTGCTTTCTGGCCCACGTGTGATAATGTCCATAGAACTGCAGCCTAAGCCACCATAGGTCATTGAAACCAAAGAAGAAAAGTTCTCCAGACTGCTGACTCAAAGGGAAGAAAATTGAAACTAGCAAAGGTTGTGGAAGGAAATTTAGCAGATTTCATTATTCCAAAATGAAAACCTCAAACAAGAGAGATTTCTCTAATTACAGTATGTCATTTTTACACTTGATCTTAGCCAAAAGGCCGAGAAGCGATTCACAGTATGTCATTTTTAAAATCCTTTTTTCCAACTATTTTTAGTTTTCTATTTTAAAAAGTGTGCTAAAATGTATTTTATTTTTATTTTTTTAAAAAACAACAACAACGCACAGTGCCCTCTTTTTGTCATTTCAAATTTTTTTAAGGAGGAGAAAGGAAAGGAAGACAATGGATTAGGGAAAAGATTAACAAGGTGATGAAATAGTGCCAGCCAAAAGCCAAGAAAAAAAAGCACATTTGCATTACACACACACACACACACACACACACACACACACACACACACCTTGAATATAGGCCAAAACCACACATGATATGATTGGCTGAAATGTAGGACCAACAGGGCAGGTAACTGCAAAGGTGTGTTGAGGGACAGATGTGTGGGGATATCCATGTCACAGTTGGTCACTGCACATAATGAAACCACACCTGTTGGAAGGTGATCTGTACCTGCATGGATCATGTCCCTGTTCTGCTCTTCGTTCCTTTTGTTGAAAACTTGGATTTTCACTGAGCAGAAGGAAGAATCACAAGAGAACAACCAATTGATTACCATGTTTGTATTGGTGTCCCCACCACAAAAGTGGTAGGTTATTCCAGTATAAACCAGCCTAGTGTGGAAGCAGTGGGGATGGACAGATTTTTTTCTGTGTAGAAATACTGTTTCTGTCTATTATTTTCATACAGAAATACTGTTTCCTGCACAGAGGCATATTGTATGCAAATTTCTACAAAGCAGAATTTTCTAAACAGGAGACAGGTTGCTCAGTACAAAAAATAATACTTTGGTATAGAGCCAGTGTAGTGTAGTGGTTTGAGTACTGGATTGCAACTCTGGAGGCCAGTGTTCGATTCTCAGATCAGCTATGAAACCTACTGGGTGATCTTGAGCAAGTCATACTCTCTCAGCTTCCCAAGAAGGTAATTGTAAACCTCTTCTGAACAAACCTTACCAAGAAAACCCTTAGGGTCACCATAAATCAGAAACAGCTTGAAGGCACACAACAATAACAACAACAACATGCAAGAAATACTGTTTCATGTTTAGAAAAATGTTGTTTTCTGCATAAAACAACCACATGCCAATTTTGCACAGAATAAATTCTGAACTGCAAAAATTATTGTCATTCCAGGATTCTTCTCAACAAGGTTTCTTGACATTCAAAAATACATTTTCTCACAATATTTCAAATGCTTTCAAATATTCCAGTTCTTATTTTAAAAAAAACTGGGTTAATGGTGACTGCTGGTGGCTTCCATATGAGTGGGACAGTGAATCCTTTCTGGGTTTTACTCTGAACTCTTAAGGAACTATCCAAGGTGCTGAAAACTATCCCCAAAACACATTTGGGCTCTTCGATATCTCCCTTAGAGTATGGAGTAATCCTCAGACTTACTGACATGGAAACTGAACAAACCTCTGAGTTAACAGCATTTCAGAAATTCAGTTGTGTCTGCTTTTCCCAGTGTGGATAGGACTATATTGTCCTTGCCTGCCATGTCACTCTTAGGAGGAAAAAAGTAAGTGGCAACAACTTTAAGGAAGCGTCACAACCAAAAATTTCTGAAGGATAGTATCTCCCTATTTAATCTACTTAGGCTCTAAGAACTTCTGGGGAGGCCCTTCTTTCTGTCCTAATGCTATCTCAGGTTGTTTCGTAGGAATGGGAAAGATGGCCTTCTTGGTGGCTGCTCCCAGGATTTGGAGCAACTTCCCAATGGAGGCTAGGAAGGCTCCTTTCTTGCCATCCATCCAATGGCAAGTCAAAACTTTTCTGTCTGACAGACCTTTTAGGAACTGAGTGTGAGGACTTTTAATTGTCTGTTGTTTATAGCTGTACTGCTAATTTTCGAATTTTTAATGAATCTCTTTGAAAAGGTTTTAATTCTAGTTAATGTTTGATTATATTTTAATAATAACCTTATATCTTTTACCTCTTTTTTGTTCAACTGTTTTTAATATGTTGCAAGAAAGATGGGATATTAATTGTCATCATAATCAACAACAACAACAAATCTTGCAAATGGAATTTAAAGTTTGTTTCCTGGACTGAATCTCCCAGCACTCACATGGCCAGAAGGAAGAGGGGGTCTACCTGCATGAATATCCTTCCATACCTTCTGAACTGAGGACAACCACCATGGCTTCTTGACCAAATGCAGGGCTATGACTTTCAATCTTCCTTCCTTCCTTCCTTCCTTCCTTCCTTCCTTCCTTCCTTCCTTCCTTCCTTCCTTTCTCCTACATCATTTTAAAGACCTTTGCCTGAAGAAGAAGCCAGTGAAGCTTCAAAAGTTTACAATGTGTATATTATGCATTTTGGTTGTCCCCATAAAGGTATCACTGTTTTGTGGATTTTGGATGATACTGTTCTTTGCTACATGGCCAACATGGCTAGCCCTGGATATGTTAACAATGATGATGATGATGATATAGATATACACCTATATTCTACATTGGCTACTTAGTAATATTTGTGTAACTAAGTAACTCCTCCTACCCTGACCACCTTCAAGCCTACCTTAAGAGCCAGTATCCACATCAAGTGATAGAGATCTAGTCCGCTGCAGATTTAAGTGCAAGGAAGAGGAGGTTTCTGGGGCCCTCCCACCCATAAGTCAGGCTATGACAAGGAATTGAGATAAGGGATCTGCTTTTGATGGTCATAGCCTCATTCACTGGTGGGAAAGGGATGGAAACATCATCATCCTTGTGCCACAATCAGCAAATGAACAGACCTCCTTTGCCTGATGCAGCTGCTGGCTCTTAAAGTGGGCTGGGAGGAACAGCTGACTAGACCTCTATCAGATCTACATAGTCTTACAGTAAGAATGAGAGAGTCAGTGTGGTGTAGTGATTTGAACATTGGACTATGACTTTGGAGATCAGGATTCGATTCCCCCACTTGAGCATAAAAACCCACTGGGTGACCTTGGGCAAGTCACAGTCTCTCAGCCTCAGATGATGGCAATGACAAACCCACTCAGAAGAAACTTGCCAAGGAAACCCTATGATAGGGTCACTTTAGGGTCGCCATAAATTAAAAATGACTTGGAGGCATAGAACGACAGCAGTAAAAAAAATAAATAGTCTTAATGAATAAGGAGCAGTTAAGGACCTGTAACTAGATTACGAATCCATAACTGCAATACAGAATGCCAGTGAATAATATTATTGTTAAGAGCTAAGAAGTCAAAGCTTTCTGGTGGGAAGGGCCAATCTGCCAGTTTTGCTTTCACCTGCATTCAATTGTTTCTGATCTCAAATTCTTTCCTTGCCAATTATCAAGGAATTCACAAATTTGGAGGAAGCTGATCCAAAAATGAATCCAAGACAATTCTCCCTCAGTCCTAGGAAGTGAGCCAGCCTACACTTGTCCCCAGTTGCACCAACAACAGCAGCCAAAAATATGGAGAAGGAAAGGCAAGCCCACAGCACAGTGAGGGCATGTCATCAATTTTGTATTACCAGATATTACTAGCAAAGAGAAAGAGAAAACTCTGGCTGCTGTTTTTGGCAACAGTTGTTTCCCAGAAGGCCTAGATCCAGCCTTGTGGTTTAGACAGAAGATTACTGGCAAGACCAGTAGAAACAACCCTGTATGAGACAACTTGAACATTTGAAAAAGTACTCAATGTGCCATCTATAACCATTACTTTGTTTATTGATAATAACTTTTATTTGACAGTTGTGTTTTCTTGATGGGCATTAAAGCTTTCGTTAACAGCATTAGCCGTGAATTCATGAATTATACATTCATCTGATAGATCTTAAAATGTGCTGCAAACTACTTTAATTGTAAGAGGACCTACCATATATGACATCCATTGTTGTTGACTCAAAACAATGGATTCTCTAGTCAAGCATCTTGCTAGTTACAGCTGTTTCCAAGGATATGTGAAAAGAATTTTCTGGATTACAATCATTTTCCTGCCAGACAGAACATGATGTTAACTTAGCAGCTCTAAAGACTTTGACAAGCTATTGATAATTCCTACCCACCCCAAGACAGATGTACTGAGATCCCATTTGCTGTATTTGCAAGATTAGATTGTAGCAGGAATAACTGCTTTCAAAAAAGCACAAAATGTGTCCAAAGACTTACAAAAATTCTAGCCAATGAGGACACTATTCGCTTACATTATTTATTTATATTGAATTGTTCTATTCCTTATGCAAGGACACAGCCTCCCTGACAGTGGTGAGCACATTACCAGTTTCGCCCTCCATGTTCCATTCCCTAAATTCACCCACATAGGACTGTCAACCTCAGAATCCACAAAAAGATGGGATAAGATATCATGGCTCAGGCTTAATACTTAATGGCACCACAGCCTCTCCAAGTCAAGATGGATGCCCTGCCATTTATATTTGTAGTGGAAAATATGTCATGCTTACTCAAATATGCCCCCTTACATCCTATGGGACGTTATCACATGTTGGCCAGTTTCGTTGTTAAAGAGATAATAAAG